AAAAGCCACTTGAATAAGGGGATTGTAACAGCTCTAGATTAAAAAAACTAGATGAAAGACTTGAAGCTCAAGGAATAAAAATCATATTTACACAACAGTAGGTGAGATTTTTTAAAAAAAACTTGATATGCTTTTAATTACATCATACTTGAAAATAATAATTCATGAGAATGCATTTCCTGCTCCTACTCCGAAAGTCAGGAAATGACTTGGTGATGGCACAATAACAAAAACGTTCTCTTTTGCGTTTTGCAGCTTAAAAATCACCGCAGAGTTATCAATAACACAGGAAAAAAAAAAAATCTCCTCTATTAGGTCAAGGGCAACATTTGTTCACCCTTACTTAAAGATCATTAAAATACATTCTTAATCATAACATGTAGTTCATTACAAATAAAATTGCCTTTGGTTCAATAAAACTAATTAAATGTAAATGGCATTGTTTACTGCTGTATGGATCTCCTGATATAAATCAGCGAGTCACCATTTATTGAAAATTACAGTGACCTCATTGCCGTTAATAAATTTAGTTGATCACACGAGCTGGAGGAGAACGCTGGAAGAACTGATCCACCCATAACTCGGGAACCGCATGAAACCCAATCCCCGGAGTTACAATATTTGCTGCTCAGGTGACTCGTTGAAATTTTAATTCTCTGATCACATTAAGTGCTTGGGAAAGACAAGAAAATCCATCCTGATGGTCTCAGTGGCCGCCCAGCAGGTGGCAACCATGGAGCGGGACCACCTCGGTCGTCCAGTCTCCCCCAGTAAAACGGGCATGTCAGAAGGAGGGAACGGGACGGAAAGAAACCAGCATTTGTCAGGTATCAACGGTTTTTCGGGAAGGTTCATTTTCCAAAATTCCTTCGAATAAAATAGTTTTCATTATTGGTTTGATTTAAAAAAGCTACAGCAAAAAATACATTTAGACATGTGTTCCCTGAAAGTGTCTCCACCACATCAGTTATTTTGGGGAATGAATGAAGAATGAAAGAAGCATCACGTCCCAGCAGCTTTTTTTTAACGGGAAGAAGGATTAGTGTCCCATTTTCCCTAACATTTTGTAGAGGAAAGGACACCCAAGTTGATCCCAGACCGGAGCACGAAGCTCAGTCCTTTGTCAGACTGCTTGAAACCCCAACAAATTCCTGCAAAAGCAATTTTAAGCCTGTCAAAAAGCACATGTCCCTACTACGTGCTGTAGAGGTTGAAGAGATAATCGCTGTAAAATAGTGGTTTTTCCAGTTAGGAATGGGAAAAAAGCATAGGGATGTTTTACAAAGCAACAGACATTTTCAAGTTAGTACCTGGAAAGCAACTTGCCCAATTTTTCAGTTTTATTAAGAGAAGTTTTCAGCAACATTGGATGCGTAGGGCGAGCAGAAGTCTACTTGAAACGGATTTCTCAAAAGATCATTACTTTTAACCAAATTGCTTCAAATTTTTTCCACTGTGTGTACAAGGGAGCTTGAAAATACCATTTGCTGAGGAAAACTCCACCAGGTATTTTAAGCATCTCTTTTTAGGTAAGTCGGGTGTAAAGTTTCAAAGGGTGCCAAACACTATCGCTACAAGTTTAAAGCACGGATCCAATTTTTTACTGGTAACTTTTTTCCAAAACCATTATTTTTACTGTAAATATAAAGAAAGATTTTAGCCTACTGCATTTTAATTTAACTTTTAAAAAAAAATGAATAGCTGTAGGGCCTCTATACAGATACAGCTTATGACTCTATTAGGTACTACAAAAGTTAGGTTTAGATTAAAATAATTCCATGCTGCTATTTTTTGTTAGTTTGAAATTCAGGGCTTGCTCGGAGCTTCACACCAATCTTCTGAAGTTGTCCATCCACAGAGTTTCTTTAGATGGCTGGTACTCTTGCATATTATTGCCACCCCAGTAAAGGTCTATGTGCTTTGCAGAAATTACAGAAATACCAATGTGCTTTCCACAGGAATGGAAACAGCCTTCTGGGATGTGTGCTGAGCATTATCTTCTGTGAAAGATGTGGAGATTCCCTAAAAAGCGTTTACGTTTGGGTGCGTTAGGCTACCGTTTCTCCAAAATCATTCCCAGACACATGGGGCTTAGGAGTGAAGCAGATATGTGACATGACCATTGCCAACAGCCGAAGACCAGCTGGGAAGCAGCCATTCTAAACCATCTCATGAAAGAACCACCGAGTGTCAATGGTTTGAGCAACCCAAACTGGGAGAGAGATTAGTTTAGCTGTCAGGAAGCGTGATACCCAGTGCCAGTTACTTCAGGATGACATGTCAGCTTCGTGCAGACAACGTCTTGGCTAGTGTGGTTAACCACCAGTACCTGCATGATGCAAGAAAGGGCAGAGGCACATCGACTGCTTGGTGGCTTCTGTTTGCTGCTGTAGTCAGGGAAGGGGTTTTCAGAGAATCACAGAATGTCAGGGATTGGAAGGGACCTCAAAGGATCATCTAGTCCAATCCCCCTGCCGGAGCAGGACCACCTACATCAGATCCCACAGGAACGCGTCCAGGTGGGTTTGGAACATCTCCAGAGAAGGAGACTCCACAACCTCTCTGGGCAGCCTCTTCCAGCGTTCTGTCCCCCTTACTGGGAAGAAGTTCTTCCTCATGTTTAAGCGGAACCTCTTATGTTCCAGCTTAGATCCCTTTCCCCTGTCCCATCATTGGATGCCACTGAGAAGAGCCTGGCTCCATCCTCATGGCAGTCACCCTTTCCATATTTATAAACATTAATGAGGTCCCCCCTCAGTCTCCTCTTCTCCAAGCTAAAGAGTCCCAGCTCTCTCAGCCTTTCCCCATAAGGGAGATGCTCCACTCCCTTCATCATCTCTGTGGCCCTGCACTGGACTCTCTCAAGCTTCTTGAAGGACTCCCTGTCCTTCTTGAACTGAGGGGCCCAGAACTGGACACAATATTCCAGATGTGGCCTCACCAGGGCAGAGCAGAGGGGGAGGAGAACCTCTCTCGACCTACTCACCACATCTTACAAGAAGTGCAGATCAGACAGAGGTAGGTCAATAGCAGCAAGTGAAAACAACTGAGGAAGAAATGGTTACTGTATCGTACAGTTGACTCTTGCATACTGTTTCCAAGACACATGAGCAATTTCTTGGTGCTACCTTGCCTTTCCTTCCCCTACGTGCCCAAACCAACCATCACCTGAAGCAAACCGTCACTTCTGCAGGAAGTTGAGGCTGCCATGTCCCACCATTCAAACGCAGACTCCCCAGCTTTGATAATTTCTGATTTATTTTCCACTGTAAACAACTACAATACAAACATTAACTTCCTTCAAATCAAACGCACAAGTTTAACTACAATTTTATACTGTCTCCATATATGCTTAACAATTTATTTGTCAAGGCTATTGAGAACTGATTTTTAATTTTTTTTTTTAACAAAGAACACAATATAAAAGTTGCAGTACAACAACTCCCTGCTCTACCAGGTCTACTTCTTCCTAGCAAGGAGGGAAGACTTCAGACACGGATTTGTTTTGGGTTTTTTTTTAAAAAAAAAATCAAAAAGATAAGGTAAAACTTTTTTATTTTCTCTTCCAAAGGAGACTGTAGAGAAATCTTTGTATTGTAATTTAGTCCAGAGAAAATTTTAGTCTAACGCCTGCATGTCTCAAACATGGACCTGAGTTTTTTCCATGAGAAAACAAGATAGGGCGGTGATGAAACGGTAAAAACCTACAGGACAGGCGTTACTACAAACACTGAATTCAACTGCAGACTACACAATACTTGTTCAAGTCTGTTCTTGCACCAGAACTCCTGACTTGGAGCCTGGCCGGGCATCTGTCTGGCATGGCCAACCTTCAGCTGCATCCCTTGTTCCCAATTCTCTCGATTCAAACCTCGCTGTGTTCTCCTTCTGCCACATAGGAAGCCAGTAGCCAGAACATATGGACACTATGAACACAGGAACCAACCTCTCCCTCTTCCTAACTTCAGCGTGGCAACAACTCTGTGATTCTGGAAGAATAACTGCAGAAGTCCTGCTAAAATCTGGGATAATCTAACACATACTTTTTCTACTGAGATGGCGTAGAAACAGTCCTCTTAAGGTATGTTTGCCTCTAAATAAAACACCTAAAAGATTTAGTGTCAAAACAGCAGAAATTCTGTACAGGTAGATTTCCACCAGCTTGGAACTTGAGCTTGTTTTCAGAGGAAGTCTCTTAATCCCAAGCCAACTCTCCTGTAAAACAGCGAGCTTCCCCAGTACGAGGGACACAACTCAGCTTCCCATTAAGAGACGTTTACACGGTTCTACATACATTTTTTGTAGATATGTGTCTATTTTGAATGCACACATACACGCACCTACATGTGTCTTTTTGCACTATTTTAACAGTTACCCATGACACAACATATATGCATTCAAAAAATCCACACGTTCGGGCAACTCGTCGAGAGAGCCCTCCTTGCAAGAACTTACCCAGTGCACCCAGTCAGACCAGAAATCACCTTGACAACAAAAAGCCCATCAGTTTTCAAGAGCGACTGCTGTTTCTCACGCTCAGAAGTTAGTGATTAAATCAACGGTTCCTGAGGCAAGAAGGACTTGCAGCACAACACTACAACTGGGATACACTTCTGCAGAGTATGGATCTCAGTGGGGACCACAGTGGGAACCACTAAGGTGAAAGATAAAAACCCAATTCTGGCTCAGTTGCTTTTCAGTATCAACCCAAGAATATTTGGGAGTATGGATCTCAGTGGGGACCACAGTGAGAACCACTAAGTTGAAAGATAAAAAACCCAATTCTGGCTCAGTTGTTGCTTTTCAGTATCAACCCAAGAATATTTGCATAACTTGTCATTCAGCATTCAGTGGAATATCCATCTCCCATTTATTGCAAAAACTGAGCCTGTGGTAACAGGTATTTTCCAATACTTCAGATAATTACAGTAATCTTTTAGATAAGAGATAAATACACATACATGAAAGATATTTTAAAAGCAAACAGATAAAATGCTTACCCCCAAAGCTGGCAATCTTTGTGTGCAACTGACAGCAACCTTCAGCTTCCAGTCTGTCTCTCCATCAAGCTGGTCAGTTCGAATGAAACATGAACCTTGAAGTTATAAAGAGACATCAAACTATTTTTTTTTGGTCTCAAAAATTCAGTTTGGGTAAAAAAAACTTAGAAGAGTGAAAATAAAGCAATTTACAACCACTTTTAAATAAATGTGCTACATGTAAAAGCATTCATATTTTGGAATGCCTGTGTGCTTTCTTCAAGGAATGCTCCAGATATCACACAGTAGCACCATTTTTCTGATAAAATTAACAATATGCCCGTTTATGAACAGGGTGAGGAATCCTATTTTACAGGTTTCTTAACAGTTTCTAAACAGCTTTCCAAACGTTATCAGCAAGAGATACAACTTCACTGGCTGCAGTCGAACCAGGTTGAAATTTTTTTTTCTTTTTAGAATTGTGTCAATGGTACAATCCCAACACAACAGAATATTGAACTGATGCCTGTGACTTTTGTCTTTTCACTGGTATGACATCACAAACTTCCCCTGCTTCTAGTCTCCTCGCTTCTCAAAAAAAAAAAATTAAAATAAATATGGATACCATCCAAAACAATATGAGTCCCAATGCATTATACTTAAAAGAAATAATTTTGAATCACAGAATCATAGAATGGTTCGGGTTGGAAGGGACCTCAAAGATCATCCAGTTCCAACCCCCCTGCCATGGGCAGGGACACCCTCCACTACACCAGGTTGCTCAAAGCCTCATCCAACCTGGCCTTGAACACTTCCAGGGATGGGGCAGCCACAGCTTCTCTGGGCAACCTGTTCCAGTACCACATCACCCTCAGAGGGAAGAATTTCTTCCTTATATCCAATCTAAATCTGCCCTCTTTCAGTTTAAAGCCATTGCCCCTTGTCCTATCACTACATGCCCTTGTAAAAATTGTCAAGGATCCAAGGGTAAAGAAACCTGTTAACACATGCACAGCACTTAAGACACGAGGGAAGCTCGAGATACAGATTGATACATCCTGAAGAGAATCAGGATGCTTTACAGACAGAAGTCTAGTATTCAAGAAACAAAAAACCGAGACCAGTTGCAGAGCTTCTCCCCGCCCCAATAACTAGTTTGATGGCTACGATCAAGTCTGGAGTATTACACAGGTTACTAATGTAAGATTCAAAAAAGACTGCACATGAACATTGCAAATCTATTAAAAACATGTACAATTAACTACAATTTCCATCTAGTTGGAAACCTTTAGAAAACGGTGGTAAAATTTCAGCAATACTCTTGACAATTGCTACACTTCAGAAGCCTTAAATATTTCTGAAATGATAATTACAACTTCCATTACGCTACAGCCTAACAACTGTACACACTATTGTTAGTGTGTGCTATGCTTGTGAAATAAAAACAGATTTTTCTCGTCATTAGAAAATTTTAAACAATGTGTATAGACATACCTGCGGATACACCCATAACTCCTTCTATCTTTCAACCACTCCAATAAAAACCACCCCAGTAGTTCCTTCACTAGAAGTGATGTGGGAGCAATTAAACTGAAGGAAACACAGGCAAAGGGATTTAGCCAGGTTGGAGTCTTCCTACACAGACAAGAAGACAACGTGCTAGAGGCTTGGAATCTAACAGGCAACAGGGCACCTACCGGTGCCCACAAAATTAAGACAGAGATTCTTTCATAGGACACATGGATCCTGATGCAAGGAAAATCTCCCAGAACAATATTTTATTCATCAAGGCCTGTAAATTAAGCAGCTCAATGAGCTAACGGTCTGGAAGGACACGCTTGAGATAGATATAATTTCAGGTGGCTTCTAATTAGATGGTGGCATTTTTGCACAACAGTCTTGAAAGAAGCTTAGGAGCCTTCGTGTAACAGCTGTGTTAATATTAAGTGCACAGTAAGGAAACAAATCTTTAAATGTGAATAGAAACAGCTCTCACAACTGCCTTCCACCCAAAGCTCAGAGCTGCAAAGCTGTATCTAAAGTTCTCGGAAAACTGATTTCAAATTCTTGACAGGATTCTTTATGGATTTTCTTCTAAAAATAAAATACTATAAAGCACTTTTTGAAGAGTCCAGTGACACCCGTTGCATTATGTTGAAGGGAGAGGTACCCAGGAACACCTAGGAACACCACGGCTCCGCCGCACCGTCCTATCCATGGCACAGATGAGCCTACTTTCCATCGTGCTTTTCCTGTACAAGACATTTCATGGTTCTCTTTACCCTTCCTGTCAATGGTTGCTCTCTTCCATCAATTTCATTTAGAATTATACTAGAGATCAATGCAGTTCAGGACCAGTGTGGCTCCCGTGAATGGTTGACTGCACATATATTCATTTAATAGAGCTCACACTATGACATGTATTGGCCAGCTGCATTTCCTCTCCACTTCAGCAGTTAATTCCATCAATAACTTATCTCATAGCCTGTTTTCCTTTTATCCAGAAAAAGGGACTGCTTTCTGCCAAGTCAGCTTCCAATAGTGATCACAACAGCAAAACTGAAACAATGCAATCCTCTTCTCCACCTCAAATACGTAGCGGATTTGACTAAATAACTTCAATTATACTACGAGATACTGATTTTAAACCTGGTTTAACTAAGCTATAAACACGGGAGATTAAATATGTAATTAGAAATAAAACATAAAAATAACTCTTCACCCCTACCAAGCCCTTAGACCTGTAAAAAACTAAATATTCCCTACTGGGTATTGCATGGAAGTCACATGTACTTTATCTCTGGAAGGTATCTGAATCAGCAGTACATAAAACTTCTAAAAATCAAAGTCTTCTGAGAAAATAGATATTTTAAGTGCTCCATTTTGAAATGCTTGTAAGCATTAATAGCAAAATTAAAAAAAAAAACAAAAACACAAACCAACCCCAAATGTAGTGAAAAATTGTTTTCCAAACTTTAACAGAACGCTTCAGGTCTGTGTTAAAAACCTGTTACGTTTCGAACCTGAACATGACTTACCAGGAAAAAAAGGTTTATACAAACGTTGAGAATTGCTATTCCCTCTGAATTCAGTGATAACTCTTGAACCTGACAATTATTTTACAGCACACAAAAAATGAAATTTTTTTTTTTAAGTTCTGTGTTGCTTAAAGGAAAAGTCTTTAAATATTTTAAATATTTACCAATAATAATAATAAAAAAATAAAAATTCCACACTGACCCTAAGAAATTTTCGCAAGGCTACCTATAAAGAACAAAATTAAACTTTTTACTTTATACAGTGAGGGCTCATTTCCCGTAACAACACTCGGTCATTCAAGATTAGTGGACGTTGTGAACACGTCTGACATTTCTGTCTTTATAGTGAAAATTTTGGAATTACCTCAATTAGAATGGAAGGGTTGATTTACCGGAATTACACTGGGTTTAAAGAGTTTAAACATTTATCTAAAGTGGTGTAAACTTCACAGGAGCACATTTAAACTCATTTACAAGGACGTAACACTCCTTGAGCCTCATCGGTGGAAGACAGGTGTCAATCAGTCCGGAGCACGTCCATGCAAGGCGCTGCCCAAGTGCAGCTAAACTGATTTTTAAAAATATTTCAGTTGAAATCTGTGAAACTCGTGTGCTTACAGAAGTCCTGGGACTACAATTTCATTTTTTTATCTTTTAGCAAAACCTAAATTTACCCTCAGATTGCTCTTCTGTGGAAGAGCTGCATCTGCAATACAAAGGATTTTAAGAACCTGAAGAATCCTTTTCACTCGGTCCGTGCTGCACTTGAGGCTTTATTCAGAACATCCCTGCGGGACACGTACGTGCCAAACGTTTCTGGGAATGGTTTATGCTCCCATGTGCACCAGTGGCCTCTTCTGGGGACCTGCCCCCCTATAGACATCCTGAAGAAAAAGGCCCCGAATGAAAATTTTCAAACTAAATACAGATTGTGCTTGGAAAATCTGGTTGTATTTTAGCCTTGAACTTCCAAAAAAACCCAATTGAGTGGGGAGGGGGAGAGTGAGAAAAGGGAAAAAAGGGGGGAGTGAGAGAGAAAAAGAAAAATCCTCCTCCTGCAAAGGGAAGCTTCTTATTGAAGTAAAAAAATTACATCATGTGCTTTCTCTTAATTAATACTATGCATCATCAGCAGAGAGCCAAATCTTGCAAATTTTACACTACCAAACTTGCTATTCATATTTTATGCCTTCTTTATGTGTAGATATCTTTAATTTCCTGAAGTTATAGTAATGTAAACAAACTTGTGCTACCACCAAGTACTTAAATTTTATTTTTATATACGCACTTCTCAGTATTAATTACACACTTCTGAAAACAAGCTATTACTTGGAGTGTTACATAGTTTCTTGAATGTATTCTAGCTTACAGGGTTTTTAAAGTAAGTCACTTGGAAGGGAAAAATTGTTGTGTATTAATTAAATTATTTATTCCTGGTTTATTGCGTTTGGAAACATTCCTGTTTCTGCTAAGCAGAAAGATGGATAATTTCTCCTTAAAACAATTAGCTTACCATTCAGCCTGTTTACCACGTTTAGAAAGTGCAGTTAACACACGAAACCCAAAATAGCAGTTATTGACAGACTAAGAGCAATCTACTTTGCATAAGGAAAATAAATTATTCTCGATAAAACTGCATCACCTGGTTCTCACAGAAGGCCATAACAAAGAAACAAACAAAACCAATCAAACGATCCGAATTACATCAAGATTTAATATTTGCAGTAACTGTGGAAAGAAAATCTCAGCTACCCTTGAGGAGGTGGTTTAGTTCACTGCAGGAACCAAACTGTATGTCATCTGTAGCATCTCCTGTGGATTACACACATTCCTGCGTGTTACATACATTGTTCTTTCCAAGATGTTTTAGGCAAAGGCTCTTTAGTAGAAGACAGCAACAGAACTTTTCTGAGTAGTCTAATAGTGTCCTAAAACAGACAGAAGCAGAATATCCTACCAGTTATACAAGTATGGCCTCGTGCTCTTTAATACTCTTGAATAATCCAACACTGGATTCAAATATCTCAAAATGCATGGAAATTCCCTGCAAATCTGATTTTGAAAATGGCAAGGAAAAG